AGCCACCTCTGGGGCGGGACAGTGGGGGGAGCAGCCGCACGTAACGCTGCCCGGGGAAGGCTGGGATGCAGCCACCTCTGGGGTAGCCGGTACCTTAAAAGTGCAGCAGCTGCCAATGTAGCCTGGAAATGGGGTAGTCATTAGGGGTCAGAGTTAATGCCCCATTGGGTGTTAGCTGCAGCCCAGGAGGGGCTCTGAGCACCCCCCCTCGCTTCCCCTTCCCCTCCTCCCCAATGCCCTGCTTTGACCCCCCCAAACGCCCCCCCCCAATAGACTGTGCTGAGTATCTGCTCCCCCCGGACCTCCCCCACAGACTACTGGTTACAGGACGGGCGGAGGCAGGGAGCCGGACTTCTCTCCCTGGCTCGGCCTTCGGTGCAGCATGTCTGTCGCCACGGTGCTACCCCCCTTTCCTCCCCCAGGAGCATCTCGGTGCCGTCCGAGCCCACCCCGGACCTGCCCCCAAAGATGAGTGACACCTACGCGGTGGTGAACAAGTTTCGCCGGGGGGGCGGGCCGGCGGCGGCCTCCTCCCGGGAGACCAGGCCTGGCGGGGGCAGCCCCGGGTGGTCCCCCATCGACCCCAGCGGTTTTGGGGGGCTGCAGGCCCACTCCCTGCCTGGGAGCCCCGTGAAACGTCTGCCACCCAGCCCCAGCTGTGAATACACCCCCAACTCCACCAGCGCAGGTACGGCAAGGGGACCCAGGAGTCCGGGACTATGGGTCTGATCCGGGGGGGGGGGGGAGAGGACCCAGGAGTCCAGGGCCAGGAGGGACCATCGATCTGAGCTGGGGGGGGACCCAGGAATCCAGGACCATGGGTCTGATCTGGGGGGGGACCCAGGAGTCCGGGGCCAGGAGGGACCATGGATCTGATCGGGGGGGGAGAATGGGACAGGACCCAGGAGTCCAGGCCCATGGCTCTGATGCAGAAGGGGGGGCTCGGACTCAAGAGTCCTGGGGTGGCTCTGACCTGGGGAGGTGGGACCCCCAGCTGCTGGGGGGGGGCCATGCTCTGATCCCTGCCCATCTCTCTGCTCCAGGTGACGCCAGCCCCCGGGGCCCCCCTTCGCCCTGCCCCAGCTCCAGCCATGGGAAGACCCTGCTGCACAGTGTGAAACCCCCGGTGAGTTCTGCCCCCCCCCCCCCTCCCCCCAGGGCCAGCGACCCCCTGCCCAGCCAGCCACAGCCAGAGGGGGGCACCGGAGGAGGCTGGTGGGAGGGTTCGGACTCAGGACACCTGGGTTCTCTCCCCGGCTCTGGGAGGGGAGTGGGGGCTAGTGGTTGGGGACGAGGACATGAGTCAGTTTCTGTCATTCATTTTTCTCCATCTCATCTCCAGGGTTTTCTGGCGTCTCCCCAGAAGAAGGGTGAGTGGGGTGGGTGCAGGGGGGGTGGAGGAGGACCGGGGATTACACAGATAAACAGGGGGAGGATAGTTCAGTACCTGGATGGGAAACCCCGGCAATGGGAGTGCATGCGGCATTCATCACGGCCTCGCACCCATGGCTTCCCCAGCCGCGGCTGCAGCTCAGCGCTGGCCGAGCTGGCCCTGTGCGGTGTTGTGTGGCTGTTCCCCAGCCGCCCCGCCCCAGAGGTGGCCGCATCTCAGCGGTGGCCCTAACAGAAGCCAGGGAGGCCTCATTGTTTTCTCTTCCGCCAGCCTCCAGCTCCC